AGCAGCAGTAGTAGTAGTAGTAGTAGTAGCAGCAGCAGCAGCAGCAGCAGTAGTAGTAGTAGTAGCAGCAGTAGTAGTAGTAGTAGTAGTAGCAGCAGCAGCAGCAGTAGTAGTAGTAGTAGCAGCAGCAGTAGAAGTAGTAGCAGCATTAGTAGTAGTAGTAGTAGTAGTAGTAGCAGTAGCAGCAGCAGCAGCAGTAGTAGTAGTAGTAGTAGTAGCAGCAGCAGCAGCAGTAGTAGTAGTAGTAGCAGCAGTAGTAGAAGTAGCAGCAGTAGTAGTAGTAGTAGTAGCAGCAGCAGCAGTAGTAGCAGTAGTAGTAGCAGTAGTAAAAAGAATATAGAAGAAAGGGGTTATCTTTGTGAATGTGTAGGCTTGACAAAGCCAATATGCCTACATATGTACTATTAAAGCTTATCATTGTTCCGATTCTTTTTCTGAGATTACATTTCTAACATTAAAGCTTTAAAGGAATGACCATCAAACTTGACACAAACCTTCCGGCTGTTTTGATTAGGTAGGCTATTTATATCTTTTCTGATGGGTCCTTCAAACTTCAACTGTCAAAAACTCAAACGTAAACACACAGAAGGCTTTTTAACCCATTTAAGCTTAAGTTAAATCTACCTATCTAGTATATATATATATATATATATTTTTTTTTTTAAAACTTTTTATGCTACTATATTATCATATTTGTTGTTCTTAAATTAAGTTATGCTATACTGAAGATTTAATAATGAGGGCAAGTGATATGCTTCTTTAAATTATTTTATTTTAATCAGAATCAGCTTTATTCGCCAAGTGTGCGCAAACACACGAGGAATTTGTTGTGGTTTTTTAAGAAGCTCTTACATACATGCAAACATACATATATACATACATACATTTCATTTAAGATGAAAGGCAATATTTCTTGGCATGATTCGACTACGGTAGGCCTGATTCTCGTCTATAATCTATAATCAAATATTACACAAGAAAGCAACCCATTGTTCTCAACCCAGGTCCACAAGATGGCAGTGCAACTCAGACCAACTGTTAGATGACAGAACAGAACTGGGTGGATTTAATGTAGCTCGATACCCAAGTTGGCCATTAGGAGGAGGTGAAACTGGCGCGAGCTCCCTAATTCACTGGAACAGCAACCTGACAGACAAATATCACTAACGCCCATTAAGAGGCAATAGGAAATGAATCGAGTCGTGAAATTAGTTGCCTCTCCATCCCACTGAGAGAAGAGACCTCCCTGCTACACCAGCAGCCCCTCTGTCGCACTTTGGGATTTATCCGCATTTTCTCTCATCCCCCCGGCTTTGTTCTGCGTTTAGATACATTATCTCCCTTCGCTTCGTCGAAATGGCTACGCGAATTGACAAAGAGGCTTGCAGAGAAGCATACAATCTGGTGCGAGACGACAGCTCAGATATATGCTGGTGAGTGAAGCCTTGATTTACTGCACATCCAGAGATGCGGTTTGGCGCGTGCTGGCTGAACTCGCTACAGTGTTTCAACAATTAGAATCTTTCAAATTAAACATTAAACGCCGATTTAATTGACTCATGGACAGTGTGTTGTGCAACATGTAGGGATGGGTCTTGTAACACAGGGGAAGTGTGTCCAAATCTAGTTTGCAGCCTATCTAGGCAGCATTTTGGCCAGATAGGCTGCTCTCTAGGGTTTGAGCCACAGCCAGCATTTGACAACAGTTAAAATATCAATTTTGATTTTTAAAGGGCATCTTTTAAGTATGATGGCTCTACCATTGTACCGGCTGGTCACGGATCCGACTACGAAGAATTCAAGAGTCAGTGTACAGGTGAGTCCATTCTTTGAGATGTACCTGCTTTTATTATTGTTGGGAGGTATTTTTGGCAAAGTAGTTAAACAAATCAAGTGTTAAAGGGAAAGTTCACCTAAAAATGAAAGGCATATATTATAATTAAATGAGACTGACAGACTCAGTCAAAAGTAAATGGTGATTAACCTTATTTTATGAGTTCACAGAAAGAAAAAAACAACACGTATACAATACAGGTTTGAAACCACATGATTGCGAGTAAATAATGGCAGACCTTTCATTTTTTGGGGGGGTGATCTGTCCCTTTAAATCTACATCACATCACTAGGAAGTAATTCATTTTCCAAGGAAGACCATACCAAATATGGTTTCATACTTGTCCTAGATGACATGACATGAGGCCAAGCAACTGGTGGGAAGTTTAATGAGAGGATTCTAGCAAAAAGAAACACATTTGTATTCATACTACTATTCGTACTTGATATCTATTCTAATATACAGTATCTGTGGTTTTGGGACCAGTAATTTGAGCTACTGCAAATGTAGTATGTTGTACTGGGTGCACTATATTTTTTATAACTGTAAATAACTGTCTAGCTCCGTTGAAAGAATGACATGATGTAATTTTCGCCTCTCATTCTGTCATCTTAATTGAACAGAGATTTGGGCGTGGTGCTCAGTTCAGTCTCCATGAGTAGATTATGCAGCCACTAGCAGATGTAAACTTGTACAAATGTTGCAATGCCTTGGTTTCCTGCTCTGTGCTCTGACAGATGATCAAATATGTCTTCCTATATGGAGCAGTGTGTGACAATAAGCACTTTTGTTTATGGAGAATATTTTAGTCATGAAGTTGACTTGTGAAATAATTACTTATGTTTTAAATCCAAACAGAAAAGATGTCATTTGTGCCATAGCCACCCATAAACTGATTTATCCAGCAATACATTTATTATTTTGGTAGATTTTTGAGTAGTTGGAGAATCTAGTGGACCTTGGAATCTCCCTAAAACTCTGTAGTGGATAGGACAAAATGAAAATATAGTTGCAAAATTTCTGCTTTATAAAGAGATAGGTAGTGGCAGTCAGTAGCTTTATGAATTATTTTAACTTTATTATGTGGTTTTATGTGATAGAAAATCTCTTACTGAAGAATATGATTTTAGAATGCTTTCATTTATTATCTGCTCCATCAACATAAAATTCAAAATGGGTTTCTGGGTCAAAGTGACTCGGAATTATAGAGCGGGTCACATTTTTTCATATAAAAAGAAAGCTCGTTTTTTTTTTAGGTGATGTCTAAAAGATTGAATATTTGAAATATTTCGTTGTGCTGCATCATCATAGCCTGGAAACCTGGAAGTACAGTGCACATGTAGTCAGCACAAAAATGCTGACTTTCTGGAAGTGAAATGTGCCGCACACGCAAGAGGAAGTAGAAGTGTGTGGAAGCATTGACACATCGCAAAAATGTCAGTGTGTCACCGTGTTTTCACGCAATCGTAAAATAAGACAGAACAACTCTCTCATTTTTACTAGAGTCCATGCTTTCCCGTTCACTTGGCATGTTGAACGCTCACTTCCTAAATGTGGTTTGTTCGAGGTTTCAGTTCTGTTAAAATACAGCAGAGGTCTCTATAATGTGACTTAGATTCATCATCCACTTTGTACTTGAAACTTGAACAGCCAATGTGCCAAATACAACTGACAGTATTACCCATGGTTCCCTGACTTAGCTTCTTAAACCTTAAGCCCAGTTAATCAACAACAGAAAACCAGATATTATCAGTCTCAAGTAGAGCCAAGGGAATTCACCTGAGCATTTGTTTTCCAGTAAAGTCCTACTAAGGTTGCATTTAACCACTGTAAATTATACCCTGTACAAGACGGAACAAGAGCGTAATGCCCTTTGGTTTCTAGCAGCCATTTTTTAAAACTGGCCTATATGTTATAAAAGTAAAATAAAATGTTACCAAGTAAAAAAAAAAAACACTAACAATTTATATATATATATATATATATATATATATATATATTAGGGATGCTTCAAACTAGGCTGCTTATGTTGAAGTGTTTGGGATGTGGCTTTTAATGATGAGACCTTTTTTGTAATCAGGCTCTCAAAAAGTATATAACAATTTGGATATAGATTTATCGGCCAACATATCGGTTATTGGCTTTCAAAAATAACGAATAATGGGTTATCGGTATCGGCCAAAATTTTCATATAGGTGCATCCCTAATATATATATATATATATATAAAACAGTTGTTTATCGCTTTAATTATTAGGCATATAAGCAGAAGTTTGAAACTATTTTCACAGATCAATAAAGATCAAAGTGCAAAGGTGTGCACCACTAACATTTGAATGAATGGTTTAACAAGAGCTTTCTTCCGCACAATATCTCTCTGATACTGTCAGTGTCTAAACAGAAGCACGCCATAAGTGCAATTGATGTTATCTTTGAATCTAGTCCCAGTGCCACTGCAATGCAGTTGTAGCACATTTGGGAAGAAGTGGCCAGCTGTAAAGTTGAGAGAGACAGGGAGTGTTACAGATCAAATATTACACTGTAAATCACCCTTATCAATAGAGTTTGTTAACTAGATCACCTCCTGTCCTCACCCACTTTCTCTATTCCTTGTTTTTCATGTGGTATGATGTCATGGAGCTTAAATTTCCCAGCTTTGTCCGCCGCTCCCACGTGATGCTCTCAGATTGCATTTCATATCATGACGTCTTTCTCTGGAAAAGAAAACAATGCAATAGTGTAGATTCAAAACACTCGCTACAATGGAGACAGTGTTCAAGTTCTTCCTTGTTATTAAACAGACAAAGTTCAGCTAAACTGGACTGGAGTGACAATAATGAAGCACATTAATATGAGCTTCAAGATGAAATCAAACCTGATTATATCTACTTTAAATCAAGTTCCATGTTTTATTGTTCTTGATTCATTGATGCATGTTATTCCAAATAAAAATGCCCTATCAAAATGTAATAGTTTGCACCACCCTTTCAGTTGACATAATGAATCCCACTTACTATTTTAACTCCTCCCCTCCAGGCACCATTGCTCCACTTCATTTTTCACTCGGTTTTCTTGTTAAATATACTGTTTAACTAGAAAAGGCCGGATTATGAAAGTGAAATAAGTTGTTGGCTTAAAATAATTACAAACCAAAAGCAAACGTAGATGTCAGTGTTTGTGACTGTAGGCCAGTGATAGGTTTATGTTCAGTAATATGGAAGTAAACCAAACTGTACTGACTCCCCCCGCCCTGGTTATTTTATAACTTTTTTATTATTTATTATTATTGTTTATTAGGGGCCAAGCACCGAAGGTGCGATGGCACCTATTGTATCCGTTGGCTTTCTTTTTCTTCTTCTTCCGCTATTGAGTCTATGGCAGCCCACAGAACCGCTTGCAGGAAAGTTATGAAAGTTATGAGTCACCATAGCAAATTTAGAATCTCTAACTCAAACTCTCTAGTGCCACCACTTGTCCAAAGTTTCACTCATGTTTATGCTAATAACTTTTGAACCTTAAGGGCTAGAAACTAAATTCTATATGACGTAATTTTCCGTCATGAAAATTTTTCCGCCATTTTGAATTTTCTGAAAAACCTACTTTTTCAAACTCGTCCTAAACGGTTTGTCTGATTTTCACCAAAATTGGCTCAGATCATCTTTAGACCATGCTGGCAAAAAGTTATGGAATTCAAGTTGATTCGTCCAACCATTCTCGAATAACATGCAAACGAATTCTACAAAAAGCATGCTAAAATGGATGTGAGGCTATATCTCCGCAACGGTTTGGCGTATTGAAACCAAACTTGGTGTGTGTTATAACAAGCATGACTTGAGGCTACCTGCAGAGTTTCAGAGCAGTGCCACCTAGTGGTCAGGAGATATGAAAAATGGCTATTTTTACTTATAACTTCTGAATGGTTTTCCCTTGTCAACCATTTTGGGTGTCGGCCATTTTGAATTTTGTCATAAAATGCTATAATTTACGAACGCATTGACATATCATTACGAAACTCGGTATGCATCTTTGACACCATGCCCTGATGGTGCTCAAAAAGTTTGGGGGTTATAATGAAATTTCTAAAAATGCTAATAACTTTTGCTTTCATTGGCCTATTGTAATGAGACTGATGTTGATAGATTCCTTGGATCATGCCGAGAACATTGATACCAATTTTGCCATAATTGGCTGAACTTCCTGTCCGCCATTTTTATTCATGTGGAAAACCTACTTTTTCAAACTTGGATCATCTTCAGACCAAGCTGGCAAAAAGTTATGGATTTCGTGTCTATACGGAACAGTTTTCGTTAAGCGCATCAACGAATTTGCTGAAAAGATGCCAAACTGCATCTGAGGGCTGCATCTCTGCATAGCTTTGACATATTTACACCAAACGTTGTATGTGCCATTGTCACCTCACACTGACCACGACACATCAATTTGGTATCAGCGCCACTTATTGGTCAAGAGGATTATGCCATAGTCAGCTGAACTTCCTGTCCGCCATTATGATTTATGTTGAAAACATTCTTTTTCGAACTCCTCCTCAACCGTTGGTCTGATTTTCACCAAAATCGAGTCAGATCATCTTCAGACCGTGCTGACAAAAAAAAGAATTTTGCATCGATAGACGAAACCATTTTTGTATGCCATTGTCACTTAACACAAAACACATCACACATATTTGATAAAAGTGACACCTATTGGTCAAAAGTGATAGACCATTAAGTCATATTTTTAGTGTTTGTATTTATGATTTTTCAGCCATTTCAAATACAGTCATCCTAAAATGGCTTTAATTACTCATTGCTGCAGTTGGTCTGATGCTCCATGCCATGCTTAGCTCATTTTGCCTCTGTAGTGCTTGGCCCCGTAATTGTTGCTTGCAGCTATATTTTAAAATGTATTCATTTATTTAAAATGTTTTCAATCCAATAAAAAAAATTTACTTCTAAAGCCACTTTTCATAATGTATCTTTAATGATTTTCTTGTCTGCCAGAATAAAATCTGATTTATCTTTAGTTTAGTTGGCTTTTCTCAGCAAATGTTTTGCTTTATATGGAATAAATTTAAATAGTTACGCATTTAACACTTTTAAACAATTCACAGTCATCAAAGAAACGAGCAACTATCCAGAAAATTTCACAACTTAAGGATTTCTTTCTCTTTGACTCTCAGATGACAACCGTCTCTTCGGGTTTGTAAGGATCACAACGGGTGATGCCATGAGCAAGCGTGCCAAATTCACCCTCATCACCTGGATTGGCGAAAACATCAGCGGACTGCAAAGAGCCAAGATTAGCACTGACAAGACACTGGTAAAAGACATTGTGCAGGTGGGTTTTGCATTATTTGATTCCATAGCTTATGCCATATGCAAACGCTCTCAGACTTACAAACTTCGCCACACCCAGACAAGCAGATTTCAAGGTCTTTTTCACTGTAAACAAATTGGTGCATACATGCAAACACACCTTTCCCTCCATCACTCATAGTATGTTTTTCCATGCAGAACTTTGCCAAGGAGTTCATGATAAGTGATCCTAGAGAGCTGGAGGAGGATTATCTCCGCAATGAGCTGAAAAAGGCCGGCGGGGCCAACTACGACGCCCAGGCCGAATAGAACTTGGGGGCGGGTTCCATAGGGTTGGTGGAGAAGGAAGAGGAAAACGTCATCTCATACACGCGCACACACAGACATACACATACACACAGACAAACATAAATATACATACCTCACCCCTCTTGCCAGTCTGGCCATGGTTGATGTATCTATCTACTGTACTGTGCATCATCTCAAAGTCATCTCTACTAGTGCTATGAGGTTCTCTTTTTCTTCAGGGGCATTTTTGTAACTGTATAATCAATGGAGAGCATACAAGTCCAGCATTGTTTTCTAAGGGGTTTATTATAAATCTTCATCTCCCTGCTGAATACAGACCACTGTGTTTACTGTCTCAATCTCCCATGGAGAGGAAGACATCATGGAATGTGTGCATTTGTGTATGTGTGTGTTTGCAGACACTGCACTGTGACTGGTTTACTTGCATGCAGGGGGTGGAGTCTTAAAGGATCTCGTAGCTCTGATTGGCTGTTTCGCACTCTCCACCCGACCAAGGAGCAGCCATTTCTCTAGTGTAGCCTTCATTCTGGTTTAAATTAAAATACCCAAGAATGTCATTTTTCTTTTTTTATTAAAAAGTAGGTTTGATTTGCTTTAAAAACACAACCTGTGGTTCTTCCTTTAAAATAAAAATGCCTCCCGAGCCAAGAAAAGAAATAAGATGGTCACAAAAGTAATCACGTCAGAATAAAATTGTTGGTTTTTCAAGATGTTTTGTCCTTGTGTGTTATATTTTGCTTTGTTTGTGATTACTCTTTGATATGGAAGCCCGTTTCTGCCATGGATTAAAAAAATTATAATTAAATAATATCTGCGGTTTCTCAATTCAGACTTTGTTTCAAGTTGCAATTACCTTTTTTTTTATTCTGTGGTTGAAACAAAAAGATGTAGACTGAGATTTCTGAGGAAAAAAGTAAAAATTGCGAGACACATTCGGACCTTTTTCTTGCAATTCTGACTATCCTCTGAATTCTGAGTTTATATCTTTTTCTTGTCAGAAATCTGAGTTTGTCTCACAATTCACAACTCACGAATGTTTTTTTTTCTTCTCATAACGAGTTTGTCTCACAATTCTGATTTTTATTTTCAGAATTTATGTCTCGCAATTGCAAGTTAACGTCGCAATTCCAACTTCTATGAGAAACAAAAGTCAAAACTGTGGGATAGAACTCAGAATTGTGAAAAAAGTCATTAACTAATTGTTTCCTATGGTGGAATAAAGCTACCATACTTTGATACTATTTTCCATCGCTAAGGTAATGCCAGCTGCTTGGCACAACACTCTTCTGCACCAATGCTAACAATCCCAGAGGGTTTATGGGGGACTCCCAGGGGCTGTCATGGCCAGCGCTGTGGTTGGGTTGCCTCACGCCAAGCTGCTCTGCTCCAAAGCCTGTCAATAATGGACCCCAAAAACATTTCCCGCCCCCCTTTCCCCTCTGTTGTAACCTCTTTTCTTCTTTTCTCCTCCCCCCATCTTTCTTCCTACTCTCCCTGCCTTGCGTTCAGTCCAACAGATGTGTGCCCAACTGCATAATTGCTTAATCCATAATCTATAAGCTTCTTCCAGGCTGCTTTTATGACGCTGAGTTTTGGTAGCACAGAGAGACGTGAGGCAGGAATGTAGACGCTGAAATTAGGGCCTGTGGAAAATCTACATGTTTGTGTTGTCTTAATAGTTAGTCAAATTGGGTCAGTTGAGCTTAGCATTGCTAGTATTAAACCTTGGCATGTAAATCGTGCTGCACTGTTTGTCCTACAGATATGAACAATAGAAGAAATGCATTTTTACTTTAAAAAACGACAGGCATTATTTAATATATTGGTATAAGTCAGTATTGTTTAATTGTACATGCTCATTTCCCCTATTTTTCCATTTCAATTACACCGCTGTTCAAAAGTGTTTTAAATACATTTTTACCTTAAAAATTATACATTTGTTTTTTTCATCAGATAAGACAAAAGATTATACATATATATAAATATATAATATTAAAATAATTAATAATTAAATAATTAAAAATAATATACATTTTTATACTATACATTATAATAGTGGCACCTAAATTAAACATTTCAAACATTTATTTAAGTTTTTTATATTTAATTAAGACAAAATGGTATGAAATTTTAATCTCTATCAGTTATTGGGTAGAATTATAATATTAGTACATCCATACATGTGGTTGGGCTTTTTTGACTTTTTGACCACCTAGAAACTACTTAGCAACATGCTAAAAAGCATTTTAAACATGCTAGCAGCTGCACTGCGCCTATTAGCTGTGTTTGTAACAGATCTTAGCAGGAATAGCCTGAGTAGCAGCAGGTGTTGCTGAGTGACTTTGGGGACTAATTTAATGAGATAAATTACATGTGAATGTTAATTAGTTTCTCCTCACACAGAGGGACGGCCTTTGTATTGATCTTGTCATCAAGAATGTCCTGTTTAAGCCACACAAACTCTCTGTCAGTCAGACAGGCCAGTCCTTATATTTAGCTCCCTGCCCGTTTATGGGGCTTTGAGAGACGTACGTGTTCTGACAACTCGCTCGCTTGCTTGCTTTTCTACAACTCGCTGTCATACAGAATGTGTGTTTGAGAGCAAGAATGTTGTGCGTGTGTGTGTGGACATGTTTCTGAAGATTCTTTGGCATTTTGTTCACAAGGAAGTCACTGCCAGCTATTCTGCTCGGATCCTTCCTGCATTCCAGAGGCCTCCCAGTTCAAGTGTATTTCATACCCCACACACATAACTGAAGCCATGTGATGATTGTTTTGGTATAATATTACAAAAGAGAAATGTAAACTAGTGTTTAAATATTAAGGGTCAATGAAAGTTTTTGAAAGTAGTCTCTACATGTTCACCAAAGCTGCATTTATTTGATTAGTACCATAAAACAGTAATATTGTCAAATATTTTAAAATAACTTTTTTACAGTTCTTTTTCAACATGACCCTGAAGAAATCACTTTAATATACTGATTTCTTTGCTGCTCAAAAAACATTTCTCATTATTATCAAAGTTGTGCTGCTTAAAATGTTTGTGGTTGCCAGTTGCGATTATAACAGTAATGCACATTCTTCCAGTAATCTTTGAACGTTCAAAAGAAGAGAATTTATTTAAAAATGAAAATATTTTGTAATAATGTAAAAGTCTTTGCTGTTAGTTTTAATAAATTGCTGAATAAAAGTATTAATATCTTTAAGAAAAAAATTCTGACCCCTACATTTACTATTTTCAAAGTATTTTGTACACAGACACACACACACACACACACACACACACACACACTGTGTACAAAATACTTTTGATACTTCTGAACTGTTGTGCTACTGAAGAAAGTAACATTTTCATTTTTAAATGCATCCTTGCTGAATAAAAGTATTATTTTCTTTTTAAAAAGACTAAACCTTCAAGTATGTGTAAGTATGGTTTGTACACATCTTTGCTCACCAAATTAGCAATTTGCATACATTAAAAAATTGTTAGTGGCTTAAGGCTATTTGACATGAAATCTGTTTTGATTGGCAGTTAAGTCAAGTCAGTAGTGTAGGAGTCTGATGACAACAAACACAGTGTTTTGTTAACCTTTCATGGCTAGAATGGAAGAACCCAAGTGGAGGGCAGGGTTTACTCAATGATCTGCTGTTTTGCCTTATTATAGAGTTTTCTGATGTTTCGGAGGTGCTGGCTAAGGGGAATTTGTTTAAATACAAACACCTTTATTTACATCTGGGCCTAAGGCTACAGGAAATCTAGCGACAATGGCATGAGGGACTGCTGGTTAGTTTGGTTAAGTCTGGCTTTGGGGGAAGAGGAAGATGGGATTTAACTGGGGCAAGAAAGGGGCGCCCATTGAGAGTGAGTGAATGGGTCACTTCGCAATGTTCCTGTGAACCATTCAGGCTCTGGCACAGTGCTGCCATTGTCATGAGCTAACAAGATGCACTCCAACCAGCCAAACCTGGCTCCGTGCTCCAATTGTCACTAACCTGCTGGCCAGTGTTCGGGTCCCCATAACCAACAGTGTTCCCAACAACCCAACTTGCAATGTTCTCATGTGTTGCTAACCACAGGTGTTGAAAGTTCTGGAGCTATTTAAAAACAGCAATATTTTTACACATTTATAAAATATTATAATACACTCTTCTTTAGAACAAGAGCCTCGCATCATTCACTGACCATATGTTCAGTTGTGGGTTGGATTCAGCCCCCTCTTGAATGTTGCAGAGCTTCATGAAGGTTTGTTTTGTAGAAATGCTAATTGGTCTGGAAAATGCCTCAAATTCAGGGTAAAATTAATCTGCAAAATCAAAAAAAAAAAATTTTCTACTAGTCAGATTTGGACTTGACCAGCCAATTTAACTGGATAAATTATATTTAGTAAATTATACTATGTAATTTTAATTGAAACTTTACTTTTTTAATATATATATATATATATATATACTTATAATATAATATAAACCATTTCTGTTTCCATATTCCATTATTTCAGTGTCAAATAATCTTTAAGAATATGCTGATTTGGTGTTCAAGAAACATTTCTTTTTATTATCTATGTTGAAAACAGTTTTGCTGCTTAATATTTTTGTGGATACTATTTTTTATTGTTTGTCAGGATTCTTTGGTGAATATAAAGTTAAAAAAATAAAAAAGGATTTACTTAGATATATTTTTAACAACGTAAACATTTTTTATTTAACTTCTAATGAAATCATTGCATGCTCGCTTGATAAAATCATATTTATCTTAAAAAATCTTACTGGCAAAAAAGTCTTACACTTTTTTGAATGATCAAAGGTAACATGAGAATGCAGCACTGGTAAGGATTCATAAATGCAATTATAAACATTAACCAGGTACCAACAGAATCTTTCAGTACTGAACGAGGAAGCACCCTAACCAGAAACTGTCTGTATCTGGATCAGTTTAATTATTCCAAACAAATCTATCAATCTCCCTGAAATGTTAGCTCACTAGAAATGTCTGATTAATTGGGCTATCGCTCTTTAGTATATGGGTCAATGAGCTGGATAACAAAGTTATTCATTTATTGATCAGGCCCACTTCTAGCAATCCAATGCAGAGACCAACACAATGCAATGAAAGGTCAAGCGCAAAGATCAAAAGAAAAGGTCAGCTTTTATAGTCCCACACAAATTCAGCTGTTTAATTATGACTATCTAATTAGAAATCTCAAGTACACCCCCTATAATAAAATATCTGTCAAACCATTTGACTTCATATTTCATGAAGAGTTCATTTAAATTTTAAGAGAGTGTATCATACTGGAAAATAACCGTCAATATATTATATACAGTATTAAGTTGTATAACTATACTAAAATAAGAACAAAAATGAGTGTGCAAGAGTTAGGGCGTAATTAAGACTAAGATTTTTTCAACACAGAGCCCTTGATATTTTTAACCAGATACAGGTGCTATGCATCAGTCACACTTGAAGGCACTCATGACAGTTTAATGTGCATCTGATGATATTCAAATAAAGATAGGATAGACAGAAAACTAAAAGAAGAAATAAACAAAGGGTGTTTTCTTAATGAGTGAATTGTTAGATTCTTATCAAACAATGTGTTTCATTGATAACAGTAATATGGTTAAACACAAATGAGCACCACAGAGAACACAGCGTGTTTGCATGAGCTGGGTGCTAAGGTTTTCACCATTTCCTGTATAATGAGTGTGC